TATCTATCTATCTATCTATCTATCTATCTATCTATCTATCTATCTATCTATCTATCTATCTATCTATTTATCCCTTGATACTTGGTCAATTTGTAGATAGGCATCCACAGACTAAGCAGGTGGCAATTCTTGGATAAGAGACCACCAGGAAATCCCAGGGCTGTAAGGCTATACTGGAACATAAAAATTATACCAGAAGAAGGAACTGGCAACCTATTTCCATATTGCTGTAAAGAAAACTATATGGATCTGTAAAGAAAACTCTATGAAACCACCACGAGTCAAGCTCAACTTGAAGGAGACTTCAACTTTTAGCCATAGACCTAAGATCCACTTTGTTATGCATAATATGGCTGTCTACAATTATACAGTTGTTGGTGTGCTGTGATGAGATACAACAAATAATCTGAATCATAGAGTTGGAAGAAGCCATTTAAGACATCAAATCTAATGTCTGCTCAGTGCAGGACTCCAAATTAAAACATCCGTTCAGATGGCTGCCTAATCTGAGCTTCAGTATATCCAATGAATGGGAACTAATCACCTCTTTGAGTAATTGGTTCCATTGTCAGTGCTCATATTAGGCCAAAAAAACAAAGTCCAATCCACTTTTCAAACCCTGCTTTATAGATGTGATCTGTTTTTACTTTTTTATATATGACATCTTTCAGATACTTGAGGATCCTTTCTCAGTCTTCAATTGCTTCATCAGACTTAGTCCACTTTATTTTTTTATTCTTTACTCTTCTTCTCTGAATATGTTAATTTGTCTGAATCTTTCTAAAGTATGGTTCCCAGAACTACATTTAACAAATGTAAACTAAAGAATAAAGAACTTTTATTGATGCAGCTTAGGGTTAGGGTTATATTTGCTTTTTTTTGCAGTCATATCATACTGCTGGATCATATTCACGTTGCAGTTGCAGTATCTTTTTCATAGCTGCTATTGTTTCCTAAGTGCATCTTGCATTTCTCTCTGCTAAATTTCATTCTGTTATTTTCAGCCCATTTCTCATCTACAAATCTGTTAAACTATCTACCTCCTCATGTAAGTCATTAATCAAAATGTAGAATACAAGAAACCAGTGCTGAATTTTGTGATACCTCAATGCAGTTTAATGAAATTTTATTGAGTCAGCTACGTATCCATATTTTTGTTGGGCCAACCAGCCCACGCCAGCCCATAGCTTAATACCATATATACTTGCATATGAGCCCATCTGCAGATAAGCTGACCCTTGATTTTTAACCAAAATACCAAGAAAAATGTGCCACCTATAGATAAACTGAGCCTCAATTTTTTTTAATGTTTTAATTTTCACAATTGGTTTATCCATGGGTAATCCACAGATTATCGATTTTTCATGGTATTTTGGTTAAAAATTTGAGGGTCAGCTTATCCATGGATGGGCTTATATGTGAGTATATATGGGATATACAGGTACTTTTAAAAAGTATTATCGTATATACTCACAGATAAGCCAAACCCAATTTTTTGGGTGTATTTTTGCATCTAAAATTTTTGCCTTATTCACAAGTATATATGGTAGTCTAAACTTTAAGAGAGATTTTGACAATTGCTTGCTGAAATCTAGAACGTTCCCAGCATTTTTATTTGGAAGTTACCCAATCAAAATCTGAGATAGAATTAATCTGGCAAGATTTGTTCTAGACAAATTCAGTGGGAAATTGAAAAACAATGGGAGAGTTTTAACTTCTATAGCAAGAGTGTCGGTGGATCTTAAACTACAACCTATACAACAAAAAATAATATTTAGAATTTATTGGATTCCACTATGCTCATATAGAAAACGATTGTCAAAAACAGACTTTTGTTTGAGATATAATAAAGACAATGCCTCTTTAAAGCATATGTTTTTACAATATCCTATACTTACTAAGTTTTGGGAAAAGGTAGTGGACTATATAAATATAATTGTGCAACAAAAGCTAAAATTTTCAGAGAATAATATTCTTTATGAACTATATACCTAGTACATGGAATTTGACATCTGGACAACGTAAATGGATTCTCCATGCCCTTACTATGGCCAAAAGATCCCAGCTTGGGAAAAGTCACAAACTCATCTGGAGTAACAAAGGAAGCCCAGTCAGATAAGCTGCACAGTTCACCTTCTGCCACCCTTAGATTGCCAGCTGGGAAGGCAACAAATTACCTTAAATTTACCCACAACTGTCTTGCCATGCTTTCCTCCCATCCTGGAGTTGGCAGGAAATCATGCTGCCCTAAATATTGCTGTCATGACACTATACCCTAATTCTGCATTTGGAATGGTTCTCTGTAGCATTGTTGTCCATACAGCTTTAACATGCAACATTTCAAGGGTTGTGATTGGTGGACCCCTTTGCTGAAATGTCAGCTCCTCCTAACATCCATTGCATGAAAAGTCTCCTCCAACTAGCATGTGCAATGCTCTACTTACTCTGGGCACTGCAATTTTTTGTCTTCTCTTGTCAAACCCTCAACTGAACTTTTTTAAAAAATTGCTTGTATCAGTGGATCAACAGGTGTCTTTTTGATCACTAAAAGGTGGAGATTTTTGTATCTCTTGGCTGCCACCTCATGGTTGCTGGATTTGTACAACCCAAATGCAGCCACTGGATAAATATATTGAAATCTTACTGCTGAAATTCAGTTACTATGCTGTTGACTTTTGATGATCTGATCTCAGAGTGCTGTTGGCCTGCAAATACAGTGATGGGAGGGACTTAATGCAATCCATGAGTTGCTACTCCTGATTTAAAATAATCATCCCATTTCTTTTCTTTCCTCTTCTTTCTCCTATTCCTTCCAACTTTCCTCTTCCTCTTCCTCCTAATTTGATATTGTAAATAGTATAATAGTAAATAGTAAATAGCAAATAGCATGAAATACACATATGGTCTGTTTTTATACAATTAGAGGCCCTGAAGAAGTCAATATGTCTACTGAAAATGTTACTTCATAATATATATTTATTTTAATATCATTTTCAGTCTCTGTTCCTCTTCTGTGTTTTCTTGAATTCTTTTAACTTATAATCATCAGGAATACTCCTAAAACAAATTTGCTTTGTTTCTGTTTTCTCCCTAGAATATGTAATGCAGCACTGGCAAGAAGATTTTATGTTTGGATACCAGTTTCTGAATGGCTGCAATCCTGTATTGATTAAAAAATGCATAGAACTACCAAAGAAGTTCCCAGTGACCACAGAAATGGTAGAATACAGTTTGGAGAGAAATCTAACTCTGGAGCAGGAAATAAAGGTACCTACTTAGGATAGGCAGTTATTTCAGTGTTTAGCTATAAAGTGTTTCAGAAATGTCGTAGAAGTTGATTAAATTGTCTAGAAGAAAAATACTTTCCATTCTAGTTCAAGAGCATACAGTTTGAACTATGAATTGGAGCAGAATTAACAAACTCCTATTGTATAATAGCACCCAAATCAAAATAAGAATGCCTAATTTTAAGGATGTAATGTCAGCCACACTTTCCTGGGAGTAAACCCTAGCATGACTTACTTTCTAAGTATAGAACAATCTTAAATATGTGTAAAGATAACCCACAGCTTCCTAAGTTATATTGAAATTAAAACCTTTAGAGTATAAGGGTTGAAAGTTACCTTGGAGATCATCTAGCCCAACCCCTCTCCCCAGTGCAGAAATCTACTGTTATATCATCCCCCACAGAAAGTCACCCAGCATGTTTAAACATTTCTGGCAGAGAAGAGTCCATCATCTCCAAACACAATTTGTTCCATTGTTGAACAACAATTATTGCTTGGAAACTTTTCTTGATGTCCAATCAGTATTTGATTCCTTATAATTTAAACCCATTGCTTCTTGCCCTGTGTTCCGGAACATCTCTGAACAATTCTGCTCCATATTCCAGCTGCCCCAAACAGAATATTCCAAGTAAGTTGTGTTCTAGAGGGACAAAACTTGAATACTCCAACTGTTCTATATTCAGTATGAAACAAATCTTCCCTCATAAAAACAGTACAGAAGTAAAAACAGTAGGAAAGTCAGAACAAAAACATTCTGTAGTCTTTTATGCTAGATTCACAGAAACAGGTGGCTAGTAATCTATGCTGTAAGAATCTTTGCTTTGCAAAGCTACACTGGCTCCCAGTAGGCTTCCAGGTGCAGTTAAAGGTGCTGGTATCGCCTGCAAGGTATGAGTCCAGGATATTTGGGGGAACGCTCTTCTCTGTCTCTACCCACCCTATCAGGTCTGGCAGGAGAGGCATGTTCTGGCTTCCATCTATTAAACAGTGTTCATCTAGTGAGACCCAGAAAGCCTGCCTTTTCTAGCACTGCACCTGCCCTTTAGAACACTGTTTCCCCCACCCCACCCCCAAGTTTAGATTGGCCCCGAGCCTGCTGGTTTTTCAGAAGGGCCTTAAGATCTGGCTTTTCTCTTAGGCATGGGAGTTAGGAGGTTAGGTGAAATTGTGAGATATTGTTAATGTATTGCTGATGATTGTCCTCAGCTGCCATTCTTTTTGTTTTATTTACTTATTTTCATTTTCTTTATTGTTACATTAATGTTTTTAGCTGTGTTTGCCACCCAGAATCACTTGGGTGAGATAGGTAGCCATACAAGTCTAAATAAACAAGCAAATAAATAAATGCTACCTCTCAGCAAATCTATATAAAATTAGTCAGCCGGATGATTTTTAAAACTTCCAAAGCAATAATAATCATTTTTGCAGTCTGGTTGTACAAACATGGTTTGTACAAACAAGGCCAGGAAATAAGTGATAGAATGGATTTGTTTCAACATGGGTCATTAACAAAATAACAGCAGAATACAATTTGCTTCTCTGAGTATTTGCTGAAGGCTTTCTCTATACACACTTTTGCATTCAGCATGCAACTGGAAAGACTCTCTCAACACCAAACTCAGTCTCAGTGAAGATTTAGTTGAAAATGATTAGTCAATATATGCTCTGCAAGTTGTAATTGAGAAATCTTTGCGAGATGTATTGAAGTTTGATTCATACTCTCCTAAAGCAGTTCTAGCATGAATATTGAATTCTGATAATAGGACAAAGATCTCTTGGCTAACAGAAAAAGGAAAACTGATCAGCAGTACAGAGACTGAAACACCAGCAGAATTACTAACTTACCTTTTTCAACCTGCACCAAGAATAAGAATTCAAACTACATTTGAGTGGAAACTGTATTCCATGTGGTCCTATACTTGGGTGTTATATCAAGAGTAAATACTCAAACTGCATTTGGGGCTGCCCTTGAAGACCACCTGGAAGCTTCAGCAGGTTTAGAAAGCAGCAGTCTAGGCAGTGACGGGCATCTTCTCATAACTCATCTCTTATCAATAAATAAATTATAAAAACTCATCACTCAGTTCTATTCAGCAAAAGTCCATTAACAGCTACCAGAAATAAAATATATATATTAACCTTAATGAAATGAATCAGTTTTTTGCTCCAACTTATCACTTTCTCTAAGAGAGAAGGCAAAAAAAAGCATTGTCATTCAGTCATGGTCATAAAGAAATTCCATTAACATCTACCAGAAACCACAATATATATAATTTAACCCTGATCAAATAAATTCACTTTGTAGCCCTTCTGTTTACTTTTAAAAAGCTTGGTCTTTAATCCTGCAAATAGTGTCCCACAAGTTGATTTCTTATCTTTTTTTTCTTTGTCTCCTCTCAGGAACAGCTTCAGTAGTTTAACAGTCCCTTTTGTAAGTCCAAAATGAAAAAGCTGTCCAAGTTACTCTTCTGATTTATTATTATGTCCCCTTTAGTTATTAAAACATCATCCAGTTTCATTTGTAAATCTACTGTGGAATCTTTTCCATGTCACTCTTAGTCTGTCATTTTAAAATCCATTTTCAAATCCACATCATTTTCTTCCATATCACTCTTGTAGTCTGGCGTTTTTTTTAAATCCATTTTCAGATCCACATTCAAATCAGCTTCAGTTTCTATTTTGTCCTGTAAACTCTGTTCCTCTTCTGTTTCCATTTCTTTTTTTTTTAAGTTTTTTATTTTTTTACAACAAACACAAACATACATAAACAAACAAAAACATAAAAAAC